GTATTTTGTTCTATTGATGTACATGTTGTGAATATGACTTTTTAACTTTCAATCATAATTCATCAAAATTCAGCATTTTCAAGATGTCAGACGCATCATGATTCATCACATGATCGCCCCGGACTCGTGTAGCACTCAGAAAATGGCAGTTTAGGACTCTGAAAGCATCTGGCAACTCCTCTTCAATTGGGGTAGTTCTGGGTCATTTTGTTTATTATTTGTGCTTTTTTTTGTAAGGACATTTTGGAATTTACAAAGGAGAAATTAAAAATATTTGTTCTTTTTGGTCCTTCAAATAAACTGTATGTAGCACTCCCTTAACCCTGCAATGTAAAACATTGTAGTTTTAGATAAACTGCAATTCCTTCATTGCAGGTTAAATCTGTCTCCCAGACAGCCACCAGAGATGCTTACTGCAGTATCTCAAAGCTCTGTGAAATGACACTGAACATCCTCACGCTATGCATGAGAATGCCCAGCATCTTGCAAATCCCCATGTGAAAGAATTGACTCAATGTGCATCACACTGACGGAGGAGGCGGAAACAAAGCCCTTGGTGCTGGATTTAACCCTTCCTTTGTGGTGGAGGTGGCGCATGGGGGCAGATGAGCATTATAGTGTTAAGAATACACACACACAAACACTACCGTGTCACAATGACTTATAGGGCTGGCATACATTTTTTATCATCGATTATTTATATATATATATATATATATATATAAACATATATATATATATATATATATATATATATCTATATAAAAAATCTATATTTATGAATTAGAATTACTCAATCTGGGGTAGCAAGACTTGACTTACAGGTCATACAAACTTAGTACGGACAAACTCTCTGACACACACAAGCTTACTACAGACAAACTCACTGGTATACTCAAAGATGCTTACTACAGACAAGCTCACTGACACACACATCACTACAGACAAGCTCGCTGACACACACATGTTCATTACAAGCTCACTGACATAAACATGCTTACTACAGACATGCTGACACAAACATGTATGCTTACTAAAGACACGCTCACTGACAAACACATACAAGCTTACTACAGACATACACATACATGATTACTACAGACATGCTCAATAACACACACATACATGCTTACTACAGCCGTGCTCACTGACACACACATACAAGCTTATTACAGACGTGCTCACTGACACACACATACATGCTTACTACAGACATGCTCACTGAAACACACATACATGCTTACTACAGACATGCTCACTGACACACACATGCATGCTTACTACAGACATGCTCACTGACACATATATACATGCTCACTACAGACGTGCTCACTGACACACATGCTTACTACAGACATGCTCACTGACACATACATGCTCATTACAAACATGCTCACTGACCAACACATACATGGTTACTACAGACATGCTCTCTGACACACACACATACATGCTCACTGACACACATACATGCTTACTACAGACATTGCTCACTGACACACATACATGCTCACTACAGACGTATTTACTGATCCACATACTTGCTTACTAGAGACGTGCTCACTGACACACATTCATGCTTACTACAGACATACTCACTGACACACATACATGCTCACTACAGACGTGCTCACTGACACACACATACATGCTTACTACAGACATGCTCACTGACACACATACATGCTCACTATAGACATGCTCACTGACACACACATATATGCTTACTACAGACATGCTCACTGACACACACGCTCACTATAGACATGCTCACTGACACACACATATATGCTTACTACAGACATGTTCACTGACACACACATACATGCTCACTACAGATGTACTCACTGGCACACATACATGCTTACTAGAGATGTGCTCACTGACACAAATACATGCTTACTGCAGACATGCTCACTGACACACATACATGCTCACTACAGCCATGCTCACTGACACACACATACATGCTCACTACAGACATGCTCACTGACACACACATACATGCTCACTACAGACATGCTCACTGACACAAATACATGCTTACTACAGACATGCTCACTGACACACACATACATGTTCACTACAGACGTCCTCACTGGCACACATACATGCTTACTAGAGATGTGCTCACTGACACAAATACATACATGCTTCCTGCCCTGAGGTCACCAGCTTGCGGCTGGGGGCAGAGCCTGTGGCCGGGGCAGAGCTTGCGACCGGGGGGGGCAGAGCTTGAGTGCCAGAAAGCTCCCTCTCTGCAGTGCTCCCTCCAGCCGCTCCATCCTCAATGTGGCCGCACCGGTACCAAGCTCATCCCTCCATAATTCCCTCGGACTCTCATAGTCTGAGGGAAAACTATTGGTAATAGGGCTCTCCAGTCTCTCCCCGGCCCCAAGTGCTGGTGGGCCAGTCCGGCACTGAACATATAGAGAACATACCAAAAACAGAAAATATGAGAACAGGCAAAAGCTTAGAGAAACTCAGAAGCTTGCCCTTTGGTTAGTGTACACTTGTGCCATTACAAAGAGAACCTATACCATTAGCATATCAGACTAATCCCACCTGTAAGGGCAGTCCGATACTGAAATGCTTGCAAGTCCTCTCTGCAAATAGCAAAACCTAGTTTGAAACCTGAGCAGGAATTTACCGAATATACATTGTATTTTTTACCACTTACTATTAGAGTGTGAAGTTAATTTCCAATCAGGCTCAACCAAACAATGATTGAACCAAACATTTATTTATTTATAAAATATTTTACCAGGAAAGATACATTGAGATTTCTCTCGTTTTCAAGTATGTCCTGGGTCCACAAATCATTGCATTGTTACATTAGGGTACAATAAAATACAAAAAGTATATTAATACACAATACAGGTACATACAAAATTTAACATAGAACAGGTAGGAAATATATAATCAGCCATGACAGGTGCATTCTAACATCATACCCAATTCTGTTGAGGTATATAGAGAGGGATCTCTTAAAGGACTTTAGGCTTAGGGAAGATTTTAAATTGTGTGGGAGGTCATTCCACAATTGCGGTGCTCTGTAGGAGAAGGAGGATCGGGCTGCTTTCTTTTTGTATTGAGGTAGACTAAGTAAAGTATTGGTACTGGATCGGAGGTTATAGGAAGTGGGAACAGCTGGGGAAAACATTTTGTTAAGGTAGGGTGGGAGTTTCCCAGAAAAGCTCTTAAACACATGGCTGGAAAGATGAAGGGTGCATCTGGATTCCAGCGACAGCCAGTTTAGTTCTTTTAGCATGTCACAATGGCGAGTCCTGTAATTACATTGAAGCACAAATCAGCAGAACGAGTTATACAGTGTGTTGAGTTTATTAATGTGGGATTGCGATGCAGATGCATATACTACATCCCCATAATCAATGATTGGCATCAGCATTTGCTGTACAATCTTTTCCTTTACTGTAGGGCTTAGGCGGGATTTGTTTCTGTACAGGGCACCTAGTTTTGGATAAAGTTTGGATGCAAGCTTTTCTATGTGCAGGCCAAAAGATAGATTAGGGTCTAACATCATACCCAAGTATTTGAAAGAGTGGACTGTGGTCAGTGTGCCATTTGAATTTGTTTTGATGGATAGGTGGGAATCGTGTAATTTGTGTAATTTAGGTACTGTTCCAAAGATCATTGTGACAGGAAGAGTTTGTTTATTGTGATCCACTTTTCTACCTCTGTAAACTGGTCTTGGAGCACAGCCTCAAGCTGCGGTAGATCGGATTTGCTCACATAGATTACTGTGTCATCTGCGTACATATGTACATTTGAGGATTTGCAGACATTAGGCAGATCATTTATAAATAATGTAAATAGTTGGGGGCCGAGAATGAAACCTTGGGGAACACCACACGTGACTGGGAGAGGGAGGGAGTGGCTGTCAGAAATGGACACATATTGTGAGCGATCCGATACATACGATCGAAACCAGCTTAGCAGACAATCACCAATACCTGCGTTTTTGCAGTAGAATGTCTACTGTGTCAAAGGCCTTAGCAAAATCAAGGAAAATAGCTAAAGTTAGGTCTCCTTGTTCCATGCCAGTTTGGATGTCATTGCAAACTTTTAAGAGGGCAGTTGTAGTGTAGTGATTCTGGCGAAAGACCGATTGATCAGGGGTCAGATAGTTTGATTGTTGGTAGTGCTCACATAGTTGCGTATGTACACATTTTTCTAAGATTTTTGACAATACTGGGAGCAATGATATTGGGCGATAGTTAGAAATCAAAGTAGTGTCACCACTTTTATGCATAGGCACTACTCTCGCAGTCTTCCAAAGTTTGAATATGTATCCAGACACCAAGGATTCATTAATTAGAGTTGCGACGGGTTTAGCAATTGCCGGCGCACTGTTTTGGATCAAAGAAAACTTTGATTATTTGTCTATCTACACCTTCCAAATTGATTAATTAATGTGTGCACGCTTTCCCTAGAAGTAATTCACACCGGAGACAAAGTTTCTGATCAGTGAAAAACCCAGGAATGCTTTTTTCCCCGGAGTGGGGGCTCCTTCTTAAAGCAAAAATACGTCACAGTTTAAACATACAGTATACATTCACCAATTGGTTAACAGAGAAAGGGGGCTCTTGTTTAAACCCCCCTACAGAATGTAGTGTCATCATTACACACTTTTGGATACACGATGGGAGGGGGAGTGAGTGGTATCTATCAGTTCTAAACCAATGATCCTCCATTTAGCTATATATGGCATATAGCTGTTAACTGGCACAAAGGTAGTGGGGGAGGGGAGGCTAGCAGGATGTGAGGAATTTACATAGTAAACAGCAGCTGACCACATTGTAGGGGGGGAAGGGAATATTTACTCTAGAAGCCAGTTTTAACATAGTGAACAGAGAATAAATAGACATTAGTAAATAGCCATTTTATTTTAATTCATCTGTCCATAACAGTCCCCCCTTAAAATGGCAATTTTTACTAAAAACTACTATCTCTCATTCTAATACTGTCCCTATAGAAAAATAACAAAAGGCTATCTTGCACATCTGTCTGAACAGGCCTCGAACACTTCACTGCGCGGGTACCCCATAGCAGCTTGTCCACTACTTCTCCCGCGGCAGACTTCTGCCCGTAGAGACAGACGCTATCCCTAAATGTCCTTAAGAGGAAGTAGCTGTTGATTTAGTGCGGTGGGACTGCAAGGGTGTATGTGGTGTATCAAGGTCGATGTCGTCAATCTCTTGGTGAAGGAAGGTCGGGGTGGTCTGGTCGATTGTCTGATCAACTGTCTTTTGTAGGCATTTCTTAAGACAGGGTAACACACAACAAACAAGAAGAGCGAGGATGATTATCGTTATTAAAATGGCAACACCTATTTGGGTCAAAGCACCTTGCCATTCAGACATCCATCCAAACCATCTTTCCCATGGATCTGTGGCCCCAGAATTTCGTTTCAGTTCATTGGACAAACTCTTTAACTTTTCTATTGCCAACGTTACCTTACCATTAGGGCCTGTATTATCTGGAATATAGGTACAGCATGTCATGGTGTCTGGGAGTATTTTACATACTCTCCCTTTTTCTGCTAAAATCATTTCCAAGCTTATTCTATTCTGGAAGGTCATCTGAGAGATAGTTTGTAACCGCCCTATCCCACCATATATCCCATAACAAGTATAGTTCCCGGGCTATATAGTAATGCCTTCGTCTGGGTTAATATTTTTAGTAATGATTGGGTATTAAGTTTCCATGACTCGCATGCTGACCGCTTAGGTTTAAATACAGTGTAGAGACTTAAAACGCATACTTCATATCCGGAGGAAGGTTCAGGGATACTGTACCTGGGTGAGGCCTCGCTCCTCTGCAGACATAGCAGTTAGACTTGTTATGTTTAGTAGCATTGTATTTCATCCATTCAAGTCACAAGTTAGTGTCAGAGAAACCTGTCTCTACAGCCCTCTTATCCTCAAATATGGGATGACTACCATGTCTTTTAAAGTCCTAATGTGTGGTTTGAGGGGATTAACAGTCATGTGCGTGGCACCTACCCATTCAGCTGAGTCATACATGTCCTGTAAGAAAAAGGTCTCCTGTTTATTGTATAAACCTCTTCCCTTCCAATTCAGATTTTATTAGCCGTAATGCTTGGGAGAATAGATTCAAACTTAGTTTCTTACCTTAAAATTATTTGGTACCCCCCTTGACACCCCTATGGCATTAATATACATATATATATGTGTGGGTAAAACCACCCTTTATAGGGGTACTCCTTTTTGTCCTGAAGCATGAATGAGGTGTGTCAAGAGTACCTTGGGGATTGTCATGTGTTATGTGTATGGACATAATAACCTAGGCTAGGGCACATTTACTTATTCTTAGAAATCTTGTCTCATGCTACCCTAGTACTGGCAGATTCAGATCATTTAAACATTCAATATTAATATCACCACAAACTCAAGATAAGCAGATGATCTTGAAGAAGCTTTGACTGTGCGTATGGCACCTCAGACGTGAGGGCTGCAGGGTAAGGAGTATGTTTGTTTCTCTTTAGTTTCACGAGGTCCCCTTTTGGGGTATTCAGCTTTCCATCGATGGCAGGTGGTCAGGCATTATTATGGCCATCAAAACACCCACTTGTTGATATTTATTTATTTATTTATTTTCAACAAGTATCTTTGTTCTCTAAGAATGGAGTTTCAAAAAGGGTTGTCAAGATCAACAAATGTTACTTCACATGATGCAGAGGCAGGCTTGATTCTGGAATGATGAACCCACGGGGTGATCTCTGTATCTTTCACGGTGCACTACTCAGCATGTGGTCTTGGTTATCACTTTGGTGGCTGGATAGGCCTCTGGCCATCCTGAAAACATGTCTGCTATAATTAGTGCATATTTGAATCAGCCATTCTTTGGCATTCTGGCGACTTGACTCCTCTGGAAGAGATAATGAGGTTTGGCTAGATGCTTGGGGCTTTCATCCATTCTTCTTGAGTTGCCCTTGGCACAAATGGCACAAGATTTACAGTAACTGTTGGTCAGAGAGGCAATTCCTGGTACTTCAGAGTATTTATTGATCAAAAGAGTTCATGAGGGTTCTGGACAGATGCTCCGTAGGCCCACTGGACCACTGCTGAGTATATGTTCTTGGGCAAGTATAACTTGAGATTGTTGAAGTACAGCCTGTCTTTAAGAGTTGCCCCTTTCTGTTTCCAGCTTGTGGTTTGTTTGTTTTTTCTTTCTTTCCAGGGTCAGTAGCTTGCTTGTTATTCCTTCGGGAGCTTGATGTCTGTGGGTAGGATCTTACATGGTGAATATGGGAGTTTCTTCAGCAGACACTTTTCTGTCCACTTCCTTTAGTGCACTTACAACTTTTTGAACAACTTAGTCAGCCAGAGAGCTGCCACATGCTTCCTCTGAGTTCAGTCTTCCTTCAGAGATCTTGCATGGTGTGATGGGAGTCTATAGCTCAGCTTCTTGTGCAGACATTGTTGAGGTGAGATACTTGGTCCACTGTAGTGACAGCAAATCCGGAACAGAACATAAGAAAAAGGCTAAAAAAAATAATAGTCAGTGTCTTATCATTTCCCCCCTTGGGAAGTGGCAGAAGAGTGGCCAGGTAAATAGAGTATCATCCCTGCAGGGTGACATTATCCTGCACAGAATTCGTCCATCACAAGGAGAGGTGGGATATTGCATGGAAAGTCTCAGGTAACCAGGGCAACATTCGACACCAGAGCCTTAACCTGTTAGGGAATAGTAAGAGCTTGGACAGGCTTTGGGGCCTGTATAATTCAGGTAAAAGTATTGGGGGAACTAGCTAGGACCCTTGCCTCTTGGTCAGGTTTCACTGTGTGGAACAAAATAAATAATAAGGTGATAGGGGCCTGCAAGTGGGGGAAGGACATCTGCACCTAGCAGATTAATTGGACAGGTGAAGGTATCCACAAAGCAAGGCTTAGTTAACAGGCTACTCCAAGGAGAGCCATCTACACTTATGCAGGAGACAACAATGTTAGACAGGAATGAGGAGTCAGGCAGGCCTTGCTTGGTACAAATAGATGTCATGTGGCCTGCTATACAAGGCTGCATATAGTTATTGGGCATGGGCCTTACTATGTACTAAAACTTAAGTTAAAAGAAAATTTGGGACAACCTGAAGTGATGCTTCTCCACAGATGCTAACTCATCGTTGATGACATTGTTAATACAGGTAGCCTGATCAGCCAATTTATCTTAGGCTTAAACAAGTCACACCATGTAGTGGAATGGGTCATTAGGATTCGGGCAATTCTACAGTAAAAGGGCATAGTAAGGATGGACGTGATGTTACTTTAGGAGTAGGCGTGGCTGTGGATAGTGGGAAATCAGCCTTATCCATTCCCATATATTATTCCTTTTGTCTTCAGTATATCCAAACCATGTGTATGTCCAGGCGTTGCAATATATAGTAATCCATTATCAGTCATGATATTAAAATCTCATTCTCATGAATTAAATCAAAGATTTTAAATCAACCTCAGAAGCAACAAAGAATAAAACTATTGTTTT